AAAAAAAAAAAAGAATAATACTATAGTTGCTTTCAGTAATTGAAGTGCATTTCTTAACCCTGATGCTACCTGGATACCAAACTCTGTGGTTCACAATAACAGTAAATGTTATTAGGTGAGACTTACTGGAAGAGATTGCCAAAAAATAAATTTACATACCTGCTCGTCTTTGACTTGGTGGCTCTTCTCCTGCTAGTTCTTTTCCATGGAGCATCTGAAAGATGATTTTAAAGAATTGTCAATTAATGTTAAGGAAGTCTTTCCATGGATATGTTAATGCTGAACTTAGGGGCTGTAGATTTGGGGTTAGCGAACTGGTGCTTCGGGGACACCAGGCAAGCAGCAAGGGAATGGTAGGGGAAAATGAAACAGAGTTGCCTTGGTAACATGACCTGGGAATTCACTTTTTTTATAGACCAGTCTCTAGATCCAGGAACAGAAGAAATCACCATATCTGAGTTTCTCACAGTTCCTGTGGTTTGAGTCCTGTCAAGAAATGTAAATTATGATGTTCTAAACTAGCACTCTTTGCCTAAGATATGAACCCTGAATCATCCAGTGACCTTTCAAACAAATCTCATGACCTTTTCTCAGCACTCAGTCTGTCCCCATCTAAATATTTCAGCTGCATTAGGGTCGCTTAGCCAATGTGCATGCTGGAATTTATTTCCTCCTCCTCTGGTCTTTTTTCTTTTAGATAGTTCTATGGTTGCTTTTTTGTGGTAGAGCTGAACCTGTAGTCAGATAGCCTGGGTACAAGGCCGTGACACTTACTAGCTATGAGGCCTTGGGGAAGTTGCTTATCCTCTCTGAGTCTTAGTTTTCTCTTCTGTACTATGGGAATGATGATAGCACTCACATCATAGGATTGCTATGAGGATTAAGTGAGCTACAATATGGTACATGTTGTTGTTGTTATGTGCCGTCGAGTCGGACCCGACTCGTAGTGACCCCTCTTTGGGTTTTCAAGGCAGTATCACTACGGAAGTAGATTGCCCCATCTTCCTTCCGAGGAGTGGCTCAGCTCTTAATAAATGTTAGTTATTATCATTCAGTGATTAAGTGCAAGGACTCTGCAGGCATTGAGTTCAAATCCAGCTATGACATAATATAGCTGTGTGACTTTGGTAAATTACTTACCCTCTCTGTGCCTCCATCTTCACCTGAGACAAAAATAGTCTACTTAATGAGGTTCTAAGTATCAAATGATTAATAAATGAAAACTTTGAGAATAGTTGTGGTTACTAGCAAGTGCTGTTGAGGGATGGGACACCATGCTGTTCTGGGGCACCATGTACATGGAACACTCCATCGGCATACTGCCAACTGGTTAATCTTTGTGAAGTTCATCTCATTTCATCATGTAACCTCCTTGTTTAAATTGACATGAATTGGCTTTGCTGGTAGGATCTCCACCCCCTCAGCACCTGGTAACCAAGGCTTTGCTAAAGCCTTGCCCCAACACTTGTTCCTAGCTTATCCATGCCTCCAAGTGAGGTTTTCTTATGATGTGTTTCCTAATCCAAACTCCTTTCAAGGCTCAATACAAGAGCTCCCCTGTCCCCCAATCTACCCTGTGCCCACAGGAATTGGGCATAGGGTAGATTATAACCTATGCCCACAGGAATTGTTCTTTACTGTGAACTCCATATACCTGTGAATATCACCCAAGGCAAAGCTTATTCTGGCATATATGTTGTTCACAATTGTTGTTGTTGTTGTTATGTGCCGTCGAGTCGGATCTGACTAGTAGAGACCTCTACTTGGGTTTGCGAGGCAGTATCACTACAGAAATAGATTGCCCCATCTTTCTTCCGAGGAGTGGCTGGTGGGTTTGAACTGCCAGCCTTCTGGTTAGCAGTCAAGTGCCTTAGGCACTACGCTACCAGAGCTCCCTGTTCACAATTATTTGGTAGGTATTTCACTTAATAACAATAACAAAATAATAATTTCTAAGATTTATTCAACACTCTGTGCCAAGCATTGTTCAGTATTTGATGTATGATAACTAATTTAACCACTGCTCGCCTGTCAGTTTGTTGTACTCTGGTGGCTTGCATGTTGCTGTGAGACTGGGGGCTCTGCCAGTGGTATTTCAAATACCAGCAGGGTCATACATGGTGGACAGGTTTCAGTGGAGCTTCCAGGCTGTGGCAGACTTGGAATAAGGAAGGGGCCATCCACTTCTCAAAGAATTGGCCAGTGAAAACCTGATGAATAGCAGTGAAACCTGTCTGATATATTACTGGAAAACTTTATGAATAGCCCTGAAACATTGTCTGATATAGTGCCAGAATATGAAGCCCTCAGGTCAGAAGGCACTCAAAATATGACGAGGGAAAAGCGGCCTCCTCAAAATAGAGTCGAGCTTAACAATGAGTTTGAAATAATGCTTTTTGGACCTCCGTTTGCTGATGTGGCAAGACTCAAAATGTGAAGAAACAGATGAAAATATCCATTAATAATCGGAACATAGGATGTAGGAAGTATGAATCCAGGAAAATTAGAAATTGTCAAAAATGAAATGGAACACATAAATATTGATATCATTAGTGAGCTGAAATGGACTAGGTTGGCCATTTTGAATCAGACAACCATTTGATCTACTATGCTAGGAATGACAAATTGAAGAGGAATGGCATGGCATTCATTGTCACAAAGAATGCTTCAAGATCTATACTGAAGTAAAATGCTGTCAGTGATGGGATAATATCCATCCACCTACAAGGAAGACTAGTTGATTCTACTATTACTCAAATATATGACCTAACACCAAAGCCAAAGATGAGGAAATTGAAGATTTTTACCAACGTCTGAAGTCTGAAAATGACCAAACATGCAATCAAGAGGTTTATCATTACTGGTGATTGGAATGCAAAAGTTGAGAACAAAGGAGAATTTTGCAAGACCAATGACTTATTCATTGCAAATATTTTTTTCAACAACATTAATGGTGGCTATACACTAGAATCTTGCCAGATGGAATACAAAGGAATCAGGTCAACTACTCTTATGGAAAGAGGCAATGGGGAAGTTCAATATTTTCAGCCAAAACAAAACCATGAGCTGATTGTGGAACAGACCATCAACTGTTCATATACAAGTTCAAGTTGAAGCTGAAGACAATTAAAACAAGTCCATGAGACCCAAAATATGACCTTGATTATATCCCAACTGAATTGAGAAACCATCTGAAGAATAGATTTGACTCATTGAATACCAATGAGATAAACTGTGGGATGACATCAAGAAATCAAAAGACAGGAAAGAAAGAAAATGCCAAAATAGTTGTCAGAAGAGACTTTGAAACTTGCACTTGAACAAGAGTAGCTAAAGCAAATGGAGGAAATGACAAGATAAAAGAGCTGAACAAAAGATTTCAAAGAGCAGCTCGAGAAGACAAAGTCAATTATTATAATGAAATGTGCAAAGATATAGAATTAGAAAACCAAAAGGGAAGAACACTCTTGGGATTTCTCAAGCTGAAAGAACTGAAGAAAAAATTCAAGCCTCGAGTTGCAATATTGAAAGATTCTGTGGGCAAAATATTGAATGATGCAGGAAACATCAAAAGAAGATAGAAGGAACACACTGAGTCACTGTACCAAAAAGAATTGGATGATGTTCATCTATTTCAGGAGGTGGCACATGATCAAGAATCAATAGCATTGAAGGAAGAAGCCTAAGCTGCACTGAAGGAATTGGTGAAAAACAAGGCTCTAGGAATTGACAGGATACTCACCAAGAAGTTTTAACAAACTGATGCCGCACTGGAGGCACTTACCCGTCTATGCCAAGAAAATTGGAAGACAGCTACCTGGTCAACTGACTGGAAGAAATCCATATTTGTACCCATTCCAAAGAAAGGTGATCCAACAGAATGTGGAAATTATCAAACAATATCATTAATATCACATGCAAGTAAAATTTTGCTGAAGATAATTCAAAAATAGTTGCCCCAGTATATTGACAGGGAAATTCTAGAAATGCAAGCTGGATTAAGAAGACATGGAAAAAAGGATATCATTGCTGAAGTCAGACAAATCTTGGCTGAAAGCAAAGAACACCAGAAAGATGTTTACTTGTGTTTTATTGACTATGGAAAAGCATTCGATTGTATGGATCATAACAAATTATGGATAACATTGAGAAGAATGAGAATTCCAGAACACTTAATTGTGCTTGTAAGAAAACTGTATGTATCAGGATGGAGACCCTATTCCTTGGCTATCACACCAAGACCTAGGCAGTGATGAACTTTGTGGTCTGTTACCAGCCAGATGAGCAGCCTGTTCTGCAGCCACACCATGACTCCTCCACCTTAATGTTGCCTTCAACCACAAAGGCCTGGATTATGAGGGAGGTGGCTACTGTTTCCTGCACTATGACTGTGTGATCTCTTCCTGTGGAAGGACTGGGAGCTCCTGCACCCTGGCTGTCTCATTCACTACCACTAGGGGCTGCCCACTACTCAGGGTACATCATGGTGTCCTTTGTCAAACCTTGACCATTTAACCAGTCTGCCAAACCTTCCCCACCACTGTGCCTACTTGACTGGCCTGGGTGAGACCCCCATTCTTGAAGAGGACAGTCTGTCTGTCTCCTCGCTTCCTATGTGTATGTTCTGTATGCCTGGAATGGAATGTGTCGCCTTGTTCCCCAGTACACGGCCCTCTCAGGAAGCTCCTGGAGCCCCTGCTCCTTCCCCTCAGCTTCCAGGGGATGCTGGGGACAGGCCTTCTGGGGTTCACAGTGTGATCAATTATTAAGGTTTCTAACCTCCTTCCTCCCCCAATAAAGGAGGATTTTTTTTTTTAAATAAAAAAAAGGAACCTGTATATAGACCAGGAGGCTGTCATTTGAACACAACAAGGGGATAATGCATGGTTTAAAATCAGGAAGGGAGTGTGTCAGGGTTGTATCCTTTCCCCATACTTATTCACTCTGCATGCAGAACCAATAATCTGAGAAGTTGGACTATATGAAGAAGAACATGGCATCAGGATTGGAGGAAGAATCATTAACAACCTGCAATATGCAGAGAACACAACCTTGCCTGTTGAAAGTGAAGATGATTTGAAGCATTTACTGATGATTACCCCTGAACATTCTGCAGTACAGATTACCCCTGACAATAAGGAAAACGAAAATCCTCACAACTGGACCAATAAGCAGTATCATGATAACTGGAGAAAAGATTGAAGTTGTCAAAGA